ATCACTATTTTGATTCCGTTGATAAAATATTAAAATATTTTTATGCAAACCGTTAAGCTTAAACTCTTCTTTCATCTTAAATATAATAAATTTTAAAATTCCTGTGGAAAACCGTAATTTTTTTTATTTGTGAGGCACCCTAGTGTAAATATATTAGTGTGCACGTACAGTGACTCGAACAAGTATTTTAGGTATTCACAATGTAATTTTTTTTGTAATTCTTCTGGAAAAATATTGTCGAAGCTTTAGCCAAAGCCATTTAAATCAAAGTTTCAAAGTTCATTCAAAATTTAGGAAAATTCAACAAATTTTCTTAAAACATTCTTTAATCTGAATCTTTACAACATTTGTGGGTATGTTTTTTTTATATGTAGCTCATAAAATTTTATTGCAAGTATCAACCGGCTAAAAAATCCTGTTGATATTTGAGAATTTTTTATACTGCTTTTGCATTTTTTTATATAACAAGTGCAATTTACAAAAACTGGCGTTGATTTTTTTAAAATTGGCAGCGAACGGTTAGCGATTGATTATATTGGAAGAAAATGCAAAAGCTTGGTGAAGACTTTTACAGAAAAATACCAAAAATAAAAAAGACTTGAAAAACGTTGCGAATATTTCAAAAATATTAAACCATGAACACTTGTTTGAGTCACTGTACATATATCTGCACATATGTTAAGCTCAAATCGAAACCGCAAAATTGCAAAAGGGCCTTGCTCACCAGGCGGTGTAAATAATATTATTATTTTTTTTCACTACTAAATATTCACTTGCCTACTCGGAAATCAGTGTAAGTTCCAAGAATACAACCGTATTTCTTACATAAAATATGATTTTCTTTGCTTTTGTTTTTTTCTAGCACATAAAAGGGAAAATATACTCATTAGCATGCTTGATGATTAATCAATTCTTTATGCGTGATCAGAAGTCAAAAAAATAAAATAAAACAACGAGAGCAGTAAAGCGTGCCCCCCAATGCACTCGCCACGATCAGCAACAAAGCCAACGATGATTAACACAACCAGCTGGAAAAGGCAGGCAGGGAACGGCTATCAATAAGGAGCTGGCTTACTTGTACAAGTCGCTTATTTACTAAAAGATTGTCATAACTCAAAAAACGTATTTTCTGAGCAAATTGTGCGGAGTTACACGTTATATCACGCTTCATATTGTGCCACAAATTTTGTGCTAAAATCTTGCGAGGTTTCTACATAAGAAGACGATATGCATCTCTTTTTCTACATTTTTGTTGCAAATTGAAAACTTTAAACGAGTCTGCTGAAAAAACTCATTTTTGAAGTTGTGACAGTTGTTTAGTAAACGAGCGATATGTTCTGGCCGAGAAGTTGAGAAACACAATTTATATGATTTTGTTTGCCACCTTATTATGTGCATAAAGTGCAAAACCAATATGAATGTCTAGCAGGAATATCTGTAGATTTCTTTATTAAGATTTTCTTCTTTTGTCTTTCAAGTGGCATCTTCTTTGTTCGCAACTTTAGACGGGAAATGCGTTCTAAGTGAGTGTTAAACAATTTAACTTCTCCTTAACTGCTGACACGTGACATTTTCATGTGGGATAACGGTGTTTCGAGCACAAACGATTGCTTGCTTGAGCCAGTGTGCGGCTGATTTAAGTGATGTTGTCTGCTGAAACTTTTTAAGTATATAAGATAACTGCGAATTGCATTCAAGATCGCAAAGATTTCTTAACTTAAAGCATGTAACGCTTTTTTCCCAAGACTTCCTGATTGCGGTTAAAAGGAAAGTTTGATAACTTTTCAAATGCTTTTGTCAACTAACACCGAGTAATGAGACATCTGACTGTTTGGCCAGAGTTGACTAAGACCAAGGTTTTCTCGGTCCGCACACCCACTTTCGGCCAACGAAGCCACCACCAGAAACTGGATGAATACTTGACTGAGAGCAGTGGCGGATCCAGCGGGGGGTTTTGGGGGTTACGTGTCAGTCAGTGGCGGAACCACGGGGGGGCAGGGTGTTTTAATACATACACGCCATATTATACATACATATGCGCCATATTAAATCACTCCCCGTGGGTGCGCCACTGACTGACACGTAGTTTAACCCCCAAAACGCCAAACGCCCCCCCCCCCCCCCCCGCTGGGTCCACCACCGACTGAGAGGCTTCGAGGGGCTGCAGGTGTGCAAAACTCATGTTACTTCAATCTCTGACTGTGATAGATGTACATGACAACTCCATTTGCCCCACTTTGGAACACTTTTTGCGATTTTGTTCCGTCTTTGTAAGAATTAAATATGAGAAATTTGGCCACGATATGTTGAGAGACGAGCCACGGGTCCTTAGTACTGGAGGGCTCTACACAAAAGGAATAACAGGAGAATAATGGGCAAGTGCAAAAACCCGCATGCCTTGGCATATCGGAGGCAGTGAGCAGCGCACCTCAGGAAGGGCTTAACATGGTATTTCATTTGCAACCGCTGCATATTTTCATCCATGACACGGCCGGAAAGAGCGCTCTTATGCTCAGAGAAGCCAATACGTGGAAGGAAACCAATTTCGGGCATGTAGCAGTACTATTTGGCACCTCAAGACGAAGATACGCATTATGTTCTCGACCATAGAAGAATGGGGTGCAGCATTTTCAGTAGCAGAGGGAGTTATATCCATCTACACTGACTATTCAAAGATAGAACGAAGAATCGGACCCGGTGTCTACTCGAAGGAACTGCAGATCAACGACTGCAGTGTCTTCCAAGCGGAGATTTACACTATAGGGAGGGTGGCTAGTATTTTACTTTGTAGTAAAGTTCCAGAAGGCAAAACCACTATTTTTGTCGACAGTCAGGCAGGACGTAGGAATACTGAAGGAAATGAGTCGACTGATGAGATGACCAGATGCAGCTCAGAGATGCCAATAGAAGAAATGAAGAGCTGCATACTACCACCGTTTCGTGATTACGTTAGGAAAATTGAAGAATACACCGTAGCCGTGACGAATGATTTGTGGAACAAACGGGAAGACTGTGATATCACATATGTTAGCACATATGTACTCATATCTACAGTGGCTCAAAAAGAGACAGTTTTTTTTTTGTTATTAAATTCTAGTTATTTTTTTTATAAAAATATAGTTTATTAGTTAACAAAAACGAAATATTAAAAAAAATCAACAAACTTTCGTAAAAATATCGAGCTTTTTAACTAGATTTCTTAGAAATATTTTGAGTTTAAGAGAACAAAGTGGAAGTTTCAAATAGTTAAAAACTACCGTTGGTCTTTTTGATTTTTTTTTGTTGAAAATGGTTCATATATTTAAAACTAAAAATAAAAGAAATAGATAAATTGTTAAAAAATAAGTTGTTAAAACTTGTGGTGTGGCTATAATTTTTTCGATCACTGTATGTAGTAATTGCCAAAAATGTATGGAATTCGGTCTTCTACGACCAACTGCATAACAATACCTCAAATTTTTGATTGTACATAAATAGTTGTTTGAGTAAAACTATTTGCGCGTTCGCTTAGTTTACATGCTTCTTTGAGCTATTTGAGCATTTCGCGCGCGCTCATCACTCATTCATGCAAAGCATTTCGACTGACCCAAAGCGCATGCATACATCATTTCAATTCGAATTTACTTTTAGTTCAGTTCAGTTAGGCAGTTATGTGTTTAGTATTTGTACGTACCTTCGACGTGGCGGCAGGTTTATTTGGATCGTAACGTTTTCTTTGCTTTTGAGCGTTAGATCAATCAGTATTGCGCGAAACGTCTGTTGCAGTGGATTGCCCGCGAGTTTTTTGTGTGATTTTTCTTTTAATTTGAAATTTGTATTGTTTGGCTTGGATTTTTAAGTTTTAGTTGCTGTGCGTAATTTAGTCAAGTGCAAGTGACTACCTACAACACATACACATGTATGTATGTACATAGGTGTACCGATTTACGTATTTACATACCTGTTGCATTCATGTCAATGTGCTAAGTGCGCGCAGTGTTTTATTGAAATTTCCGTTGCGTAGCCGCTGTTCTTGCTCTCTTGTTGCTGGTGTGTTAGCCGCGCGCCACAGTTCATTGGTTCGTTACCGCTGTCGCAATATCGTTACATAGTTACATATCTCGTTGGTTTGTCGCTTGTTGTGGTGACTTTCGAAGGCATTCTAATTCGCACGTGAAAATTCTATTTGCAACAACGATACTAACAATTTGCATATTTATCATTTCGTTTATCGTGTTGCACGGCGCATGAAAACATACATACATACACGCATATTTACAAATATTAAAAGAAGCCGCTGCCCTGAATGAAGGCAAGCATCCCGCCGACGATTTAAATTTCTACAATAACAAAATATTTTTTCATTGTGTGAGTATTCAGCAAAATCCGAAATAAAAGTTAAAAAATTATTATAATATTTAGTATCTATATATTTATCCAAAATAACAATGTGGCATACCGTCACTTATACATGTGTATATTCACATCTACACACCTCCCATATTAAACTATGTGTGATATGTCGCATAATAAATGCTGTGATTCTTAAACTTATCATTTACGTTGTTGCTTTCGCTTTTATTGCTTTCATTTGTTGTTCTTGTTGTGCTTGCTGATGCTGTTGATGACGGTGATTATTCAATTGTCCCGAAACCAGAAGAGTTTTTTGCACTAATTGAATAGCAAGGCAGCGCGCGAGTGTAGTACGTACACACATATACACTCCACGCCACGTGGATATACGAACTCTCTCCTATGCGAAGTTCCGCCAGTTTCTCACACCAAATGCAGACGGGTCCTTTCCAAGTATTCCTGCGCATGCTGTCGTTGTTCACTCAGGGGCATTGTGTCTTTTGACCGCTCTTACCTGGAGGATTAATACACTGCATTTATGCAGCGATTGTTCGGTGTTGCCCGGGCTCAGGTTAAAGGTACTGTACACTTTCAATCAATTATTGCTTATGTGTTCCCTTAAGCAATAACGACAAACTGTGTTTGACTGTTTGTGTTTGTCCACCAGAAAACATGGTCTATCATGAAGGAACTGATATATGGAGAAAAGCAGGGAAATCAAATGAAACTTGTTAAATTATTTAATTTTATAAGATTTAACAAATCCTAATGAAATGGCTAACTCATTCAACAAGTATTTTGGAAATGTAGTGAAATACCCCGACTTTGCTGAATACAATGACGAGCCCTTAGACGGAATGACGCTATCATTTTCGCGGGACGAATGTGAAACGCTCGAAGTTGAAATGCCAATAACTAAGTTTAAAATATAAATCAGTGAATGGACCAGACCAAATATCGATTCGAGGGCCAGTATCCACAAGAATTGGAGCATGCACTTCTCTATGCAGCTTATCAGCCTGATTATTTATCTGCCTACCTCTGTGCCTTAATAATATAATGGTGCTTACACAATATGTTAGTGTTTGGTCGAACTTCTCCTCCAATTTGTGGTGCGCGCTTTGATATTGTCACACAAAAGGGAGGCAACTACAGTTTTACGACGATTCCGAAGAGCGATTGTAGTTTTATGCAAAGCTGTTTTTCATGGCAGAATACACTTTATTCCCCTTCTTTTTTGCCGCTGTAGCCGCCTTAGCGATTTTAGCCGAGTTTAACAAAGCACGCCAGTCTTTCTCTTCTATGTAAACTGACGCCAATTGGAAATGCCAAGTGACCCCAAGTCCTTTTTCACTTGTCCTTTTCATCGCAGTGGGGGCCTCCCTCTTCCTCTGCTACAACCAGCGGGTTCCGAGTTGAATACTTTCAGAGCTGGAGCATCGGAGTCCATTCGAACGACATGGCCAAGCCAGCGGAGCCGCTGCATTTTAATTCGCTGCACTATGTCTATGTTGTTGTAAAGCTCATACAGCTCACCTTTCTATCGTCAGAGGTAATCGCCGTCGCCAACGCGTAAATCTTCCGCAAAATCTTTCCCTCGAATACGCCAAGAGCCGCCTCATCGGATGTTGGCATTGACCATGCTTCTGCACCATATACCAACACGGGAATGATGGGTGATCACGTCAACATTATTGAGTTGGAAGATTGGAATTTTGCACTGATTTTCACACCTAATCTGCTTCAGGCGACTTTGTCTTTAACTCTTTTTTTTTGAGCAAACCTTCTTTCAAGTCTATTCTACGAACATATGGAGTGGCGTCAATTCGAAATGGCATCCAACGCTACAGTATAGCAGTTCACACTCATCTAGTTATGCTAACTACATGACGCTGGTGAGTGTCTTTTGGATAATGCCTCGATATATGCACCAAAAATGTTTTTTTTTTTTTACTCAAATCACGAAAGTCTGGTGAAATGAAATAAATTGGAAATTTCGTAAGGTTTAAGCTGGCCTCAAACAGATGCGATATGCTGTCGTATTTAATAAGACATAATATCGTATTTGATGCGATAACGATAAAAAGCAAAGATCCTCAAACCGGCGCGATACGATGCACTGTGGTGCTTAATCTATCTTATGTAAATATTTATATTCCAAATACTTCAAATGGCATAATATAGTCCAACAATTGACGAGTTGAATTATTAACTTAATTTCAGAACTCTACAGTGAAAAGGCCAGTTTTTCTTTTCACTACGGAAATCATAAATTATTTTTGTTTTTCAAGAATTTGGAAAAATTACATACTCAACTCAACGAAACATTTCTAATTAACTTTTTCATGGTTACTCGTGCACGGTTGTTTTCACTAGCCGCAAAATAACGTCATTTAATCCTTAATACGAGTACGGTGTATATGGTGTTTACATAAAGCGATTTTACAGGCAACTTTTAGTTGAAAGCAACAATCGCCTGGTGTGAACAGCCTTTCAACTAATCGCTTCCAATGAAGCCAACTTCTGATTCAACTAATCGCAACTAAAATTGCCTGTAAAATCGCCACATGTGAACACCGTTATAGACCTAGAATTGTTTTGCTAAAACGTTGCGCTTATTCAGGTGGCGTCCTGTGTAGAACCACATGTATGTTCCAGCATTAAAGTGAGTGTAGTATGTGCGCGCGCAAGTAAAGTGGGGTTGCTGGATAAATCTGATCCACCCGGTCTGGCGCACGACGATTAGCATCAACAACATGTATATTTGTATGTATGTAAGTAGTAGATATACATATATATAAAGATACACTCGCATTTAGTTAATCTACATATATTACATCGGTTTTGCCCAACGACCGGCATCTAAGCGCGGCACATAAACATATATATACGTACTAAATGCAATACTATTCCGTGCTAACTACTAGATTAGTAAATAGTAGTATGTGATAAATGATACAACGATTCATTGTACATACAAACGTACATATGTATCTGTCTTGCAAATTGAGTTGTTTTTGTGCTGATAGTGTGAAGTTTCTAAGCACATAGGGGGATAAAAGCACGCATAATTCGTGGGATCATTCGCGAATAAAAGTGAATTTGGTTTCGTCAATAATACATATAGGATAATCAAGTCACTTAATAGCATATATGTATGTACTACATATATCTACATATGTATGTTTGTAAATTGTTTGATTTATGTACATACATATTTTTGTACAAATTTGCATGCTTGAATTTATATAGAAGCTGAGTGTATTTTGACCGAGTATCGAAATGGAAATGTGTAAGTGATCAACATGAGTGATGATATACTCGTAATTTAGCTAAAAAGAAGTTTAGCTAATTATTCTTATGCATATTCCGGTATGCATACATATGTTTGTGATCCAAATAATCTATATCGCCTTTGATCAAATACCTGCTCTAATTTATGCTGCGCATCCTCTTTGTTTCCAGAATTTTTTGCTTAATGTTTTATTTTCAAATGTAGTAAAGGATTTTTAGGAGCATTAAAATGAACGGTTTTTAGTTTTTTTAGTACATACATATTTTTGGAGTAGAAAATTTGTAGTACTTATTTTTTTGGTAAAAAGTTTGTACATATATCGCAGTACGGACTTTCGATATAAGAATTACTAGAATTGATAAAAAATATGCAGTTCAGAATTTGC